AGAACAGGGCGTTAAGCCTCTCTCTGCCTCGCTTGGGGTGGGGCACGGAACGATGAGGCCACTGAGTCCTTCCACATCCAAGCAAAAGGAGGTGTTGGCAAGCGGGGAAAAGTTCCGAGCTGGGAGTCCGAAGGCCTCGGCTTTCACGGATCTCTGACCTTGAGCGAGCCCTGGCCTCGAGCTTCCCTTCTGCCATCTGCTCAAGGGGGGCGACCGTCCTCGCCCGGCTTCTCCCTCTCCCTCCTTCCCTCCCTCCCAGAGCTGTTGTGCGTTCTGAGCAGATAATGGATGTGAGGCCCCAGGGTTCCGTGTAATTCTGATTAATATTAATGATCCGACATGCAGTTGCCTGCTGCGTTCCAGGCCCTGGGCCAGCTGCCTCTCCACGCAGCGCTGCCGCCGGAGAGCGGTGGGCCCCTCCCCTGCCCCTCTGGGCCTCCTCCAACCTCTGCAGGGGGGGTTCGATGTCCCCTCTTTCCTCTGCACCCCCAGATCTTCTCCCTGGGCCATTGCCCCAACCAGGACTGGCTGGCCGTGGGCATGGAGAGTAGTAACGTGGAGGTCCTGCACGTGCGCAAGCCCGAGAAGTACCAGCTGCACCTTCACGAGAGCTGTGTGCTGGCCCTCAAGTTCGCCTCCTGCGGTGTGTGTGCCTGGAGGGCGCGGGGCGGGGCGACCGAAACCCCACACCCACCGGACAGCCCCCACAACAAAACACAGGACGCCCAGCGGAATTGGAATCTTTCTGTTTCATATTTATTTTTGAGAGAGAGAGAGACAGAGCGCAAGTAGGGGAGGGGCAGGGAGAGAGGGAGACACAGAACCCGAAGCGGGCTCCACGCTCCGAGCTGTGGGCACAGAGCCTGCTGCGGGGCTCGAACCCCCGAGCCTGGAGATTGTGACCCGAGCCCAAGTCGGACGCTTAATCGACTGGAGGCACCCAAGCACCCCCTCGGTGGAATTTTGAATCTTAACGAATCGTTGGTTAGCGGAAGTTTTTCCCAAGTGCGACCCAGGACATGCTTACGCTTAAAAGCAACTGATTTGGTAATACAAATACATCCCCAATATCGCCCGAGATACACTGACACTAAGAAAAAAAAAAAAAAAAAAAGGCAGCCAAATGATTTTCAGCATAAGTGTGCCCCAAGTACCGCATGGGACACGCATGCATTAAAAGAAAATAAATAATGAAATCCTTGGGGCACATCTGTATTAAAATGGTTTGTGATTTATCTGAGATTCAAAGGTACCTGGGCATCTTATGTTTTATCGGGCCACGCTCTCCTGGGGGCTCCCCCTTCTTGAAGGCCAGATGGGCCCCCGCCCCCGGGGGGCCTTGACTTCACCATCTGGAAAATGGGGGGGAAGGAGGGGCCCACTGTTCCCTTTGTGAGAGCGGAGGTGCCAGAAAGAAAGGGAGAGACCAGGCCTGCTGGACCCTGTCTGCCTGCGGCCCACAGCCGGGGAGGACGCGGGGGGGGGGGGGGGGGGCTCTCTGGTCTCTCCTGCTGGAACCCCCTGCTCTCTCCCTCCCCCAGGGCGCTGGTTTGTGAGCACCGGGAAAGACAACTTACTGAATGCCTGGAGGACGCCATACGGAGCCAGCATTTTCCAGGTACCCAGCCGCGTGCAGCCACCGCCCTGCAGGCCAGGACGTGCTGCGCGCAGGGGCCCCGGGGTGGCTGAGCTGGTGGTTAAGCCGCGGAACTCCCCCCTGGGTCCTGCGAGGTCCCCCCCCCCTTCCCCGCCAGCCAGCAAGCTACTAAAGCAGGGTCTGCAAACTGCAGCCTGCGGGCCACATCCGCGTGCAGCCTGGGTTCTTTTTGTGCGTGCTTCCTTTTTTTAATACATTAAGACTTGCCATCGTGACCATTTCTAAGCGCACACACACTCACACTGTTGCGTAACCACCCCCGCCATCCGTCTCCAGAGCTTTCCATCTCCCCAAACTGAGGCTCTGTCCCCAGGAAGCACGGACTCCCCGCCCCCTGCCCCATCCCCTGGCTCCCACCGTCTGCCCTCTGTCTCTCTGGACGGGACTCCCCTGGGGACCCCCTGTGATGGGGTCACGCGGGACGTGTCCTTCTGTGTCTGGCTCCTGTCACTGCTCAGTGTCCTCCGGGTCCGCCCACGTGGTGGCAGGCGGCAGGCTGTCCTTCCTTCCTGAGGTGGGGTCACAGCCTGTAGTCTGGATGGATTGCGTCTTGCTTATCCATCCACCACTTGATGGACACCGGCTTTGTTTCCGCGTTCTGGCTGCTGTGAGTCGCGCTGCCGTGGACGTGTTTTCATTGCTCGTGGGCAGAGAGGTCTTGGGGTGGGATTGCTGGGAGCTGTTTAACCTCTGGACTGTCCTCCAACTTTTCCATCCCATCAGCAGTGTTCGCGGGTTCAAAACTCTCCGCGTCCTCAACAACCTGTTATTGTGTCTTTTTTTGTTACAGCCATTGTAGTGGGTGTGCAGGGAGTTTTACATCGTTAAGGGGGTGTAAAACGAAAGGACGATAATGTGACGTAGATTTACTTGGCCCCCGGACTTGTTGGCTAGAGGCTCATTTGGACCTTTGGCAAAGCCTGAAAACTTACTGCCGGGTCTTTTACAGGAAACGTTTGCTGGTGTAGGGTCATTGCGCTGTAAGCCTCGGCTGGCCCTCTGCTGTGCTGTGTGGCCTCATGCCCGGTCCACACCCTCTCTGAGCCTCCTAGGAAAGGGCGGGGCTTCAGTTGCGGCTCTCTTGGTGTCAGGAGAACAGGGGACCCGCCCTTCCCAGGATCTGTCACCTGTCCACCCAATCCCACTGGCCCTGCCTCTTCCCTCTGAACGTCGTGCGGGGCGGTCAGGGGCACGGACCGGACACCAGACGGTGCTAGTATCGGCCACGCCTCACCTCCCCTTCTCTCCCTCCCCCACCCCTGCCCGTAGTCCAAGGAGTCATCCTCCGTGCTGAGCTGTGACATCTCCGGAAATAACAAGTACATTGTGACGGGCTCGGGGGACAAGAAGGCCACGGTGTACGAGGTGGTTTACTGAGAACCCCCCCCCCATCTTCCTGCGCCCCTGGCCTGGCTCCTGGGGGAGGGGCATCCAGGACAGAGAGCCCGGCACCCCGTCTCCGTTCATACCCGTGAGCGCCAAGCCTCGTCTGCCCTCTGGCTGGCTCCCTGCCATCTTCCCCTGCTGGACACGGCGCTGGACGGGCAGGTGGACTTCGGGGAAATAAATGTGCTTATCGCAACTACCTTTCTGTCCCGGGCTGGGGAACCAGGGCTGTTGCTTTTCTCGGGCGCTGTTACCGCGGAAGGCTGTGCGGCCGAGGGCGAGTGGCATCCTGTCCCTCCGCCTCCCTTTCCTCCTCTGGACCCCGGAGGACTGCATTCTGCAGGGGCGGCCGGGAGAGTCGGAGTGCTGTCGAGCAGCAGGGCTTACGTGGTGCCGGGTGACAAGGAGCCACCAGACCTCAGTGGTTGAACGCGGCGGACGTTTCTCTCCTGCTCGTGTCCACGTGGTTTGCGGGGCTCGACGGCGAGGAGTCACTCGGGCCGTTTCTGCCGTCACGTGTAGCTTCAGGATCCAGCGTGGCAGGGGAGAGGAAGTCACACGTGGCTTTTATTTCGTTATGTCTTTGCATTTTTGTTTTAATGTGCACTTTTGAGAGACCGAGCGTGAGCGAAGGAGGGGCAGAGAGAGAGGGACACACAGAATCGGAAGCAGCTCCAGGCTCCGAGCTGAAGGCACAGAGCCCGACGCGGGGCTCAGACTCCCGAACCGCGAGATCATGACCTGAGCAGACGCTTAACCGACTGAGCCGCCCAGGTGCCCCACACGTGGCTTTTCAGTGCCCTGGCCCCAAAGTTTCCTGTATCTCTTTCACTGCCAGCTCCTCGGACGGAATCATCCCAAGACACTGCCCGTGTACAAAGGGTGGGGAGTATAGAGGAGAACGGAGCTCTTTGGGGTGAAGTTTTCCTTTGAGGCCCACCCACCGATAATTCCTGAGAGCCTGGTGCACGATGACACCTGGCCTGGCACGAGCTGCCAAGCAAACACCAGAACCCCAGGGGAGGGAGCTAACAGGAGAAACCACCAGCTGGGAGGGTCATGCAAGACTGTGGGTACACAGGGAACAGCATGTGTGAAGGCTCAGAGGTAAGGCGCTCGGCCAGGTGGAAATCGAGGGAAATCTGCTCCTCGGCTACAGGGGGAGCGAGGTCTCCAGCCCAGGCTTAAGCAGAGAGAGCCCCTAGAAATGTGGGCCAGCGGGGATGGGGACATGACACGTCTGTGTTCCTGAAACTCCTAGGGGCTGCTGTGGAGGACGGTGAGTGGGTGGCTGGGTGGGAGGCCCAGACGCCCCTGGGAACCTTCTGGAGGGAGATGGCAGGGTCCCCGGGTGGAGTTTTGGAGGTGCTTTTTGGGGGAGAGAACAATTCTCTAAGGAAAGCAGACCTCTTGGCACGATTGGGGGTGCTTCTGCTGGAGGGGACAGGGCGAGCAGGTGGGGTCAGAGTCCCCATGGGGGGAGGACAAGCCTGCCAGAGACTAATTGCTGTTTTGCTGTGAACAACTGTGTTCTGGGGCGTGCGGGGTGAGGGGTGGGTGGGGGAGGGACCCGATCACTCTCGGGAGGGCATCCTGGGCACCGTGGGGCTGAGCAGCATCCCCGGCCCCCACCCCCAGTCACGACGACCAGAAATGTCCACATTTGCCATGTGCCCCACCGGGGGTGAAGTTCACCCCCAGGTGAGATGCACCCATCTAAAGCGATAGGGCATCTTGGGAAGGGCGGAGAACCCCACCCCTCGATGGCACAAATGGCTGGGAGACCCGTCTCCGGGAGAGGAGGGGACAGGAAGAAGCGGTCCACGACCACCCCCACTCCCAACAGGGCGGTCAGTGGCTTTGAGGAGATTCTCCGTGAACGTGGACTTAAGGCTGGGTCCTTCCAAACCTCTGCAAGACGGGCGGGGGCGGAGGGGGAGGGACGCACAGAACCCTCTGCTGTTTCCAATTGCTTTATTACATGTGACAAAGATGGCCGGCCTGATCGCGCCATGCGGAAGAGACCCGGCTCGCCCACCACACCTCTCCACCATTATGCCTCCACCTTACTGGGGGAAAAGGACAAAAAAAAGAAAAAAAGGATCCCGAGTCAGGACAGCTGGTACCAAGCCCCTCAGTAGGTGACCTGGTACACAGAGGCGTGGTCCCTGGACCCCGTGACAATCAGGCGGTTGTTGGGGGACACATCACAGCACAGGATGGAGGAGGTCTCGGGTACCTTGGAAGGCAGAAGGCCAGCGTGAGCTGAGGGGGCTCACCCACCCCGCCCCTCACCTCTGCTGGCAGTTCAAGCCTGGTCCCTCTGGGGGCCCCTGCATCAGGACCCCTGCGTTCAGCTCCCAGACCTGAACGCTGCCCGCCCCCCCCCCCCCCCGGGGTACCTGGAGCTCCACGGCCCCCGCGGGCATGCTATAGACGCTAACCAGGTCGTCCGTCCCGACGCTCACCCACCACTGGCCTGGGAGGAGGCGGAAGGGACCAGTTTGTGGGGGAAATCGGCATCTGGGGGCAGGGCCCCTGGGGGTCTGGGACGCAGAGGTGGCCCCCCACCTCCCTCTTGCCTCTGTGGAAAGCATCACTGAGTGGTTCCTGCTGATGAAGGGTGTTGGGGGGTCAGGAGGGGTCAGGAAGGCGGGCTAGGATCCTGTGGGAGTCTGGGGACCACAGGGGACTTGCCTGCCCCTTCCTGGCCACTCACCGAGGGGGGAGAACTTCAGACCCAGGATGGTGCCGTCCTTACACCCCACCATGTGTTTCTGGCCCCCTCGGGTGGGCTGCAGCCACTGCTGGCCATTGGCTGTGCCCACCAGCACCCAGTCCTCCTGGGGACTGGGGGACAGGCTCATTATCTGGGGGGCAGGCGGCAGGGAAGAAGCTAGTCAGGTCCCAGCCTGGCCCAAGAGGCGGACAGGGGCACAGGGGCCCACCCTGGGGGCTGACCTCCCGCCAGCCTCCCGGCTTCGAGGGCCTACTGAGCAACTTCACACTGTGGGCCTCAGTCTGCTCATCTGTAAAGCAGGTCGGTTCCCTCTACCTTAAGGGCTGACTGCGGAGACTAAAGGGGGCTAGGAGCACCTGAAACAATATGAAAGTGTCTGATGCTCTTGGGGCTGGAGGGGGGAGAACATCTCTAACGACCCTATTCCCGCCAGCACCACTGAAATGTGGGGTCCCATCCAGCCCCCTTCCCCAGCCCCCATCCACCTCCTTCTCTGTTCTGAGACCCAGCTACTACTACCTGGCCGACCAGACCCTTCCCAGCCTGCACACCTGAGACTCAAACTGGTACTCCCGAGGCTCTCTGGCAGCCCTCAGGTCCCAGCACCGCAGACAGGTGTCCAGACCCCCTGCCCAGACGTTCTGGTCTTGGACAGCAATGCTCTTGGCCCCATTCGGGTGGCCCGGCAGGTCCCTGGCCAGAAGGGGTGTTGGGAGAGGGTCAGGGCTGAGACTCTGAGCCTTAAGCCCCAGGAACTCCCCTCCCCCACCGAACCACACCCGGGCGACAGATGGGGAAACCGAGGCAGGCAAAAGTGCCAGGACTGGGTTTTGAAGAAACCCAGCCAAAGTCTGAACTCAGGCCTTCAGTGCTCTCAGATGCAAACGTAAGTGGTCCAGGGGTTTCTCTGCTTTGGGGCTGCTGGACCCCTACTCAGGCTTTCAGCATGACTCCGCGCCCCTCCCCCGCCCAGGCCTCACCTGATGACACTCTGGTCCCGTAGGTCCCAGATCCTGACTGTGCCCTCCGTGAAACCAGCCAAGGCCAGGCTGTCCTCAGGCTTGGAGGCCAGGGCCTGGCAGGTGAGGCCCGCGCAGGGCAGCTCACCGCTCACGTACAGGGAAGGCGCGGTCAGGTCCCACACACCCACGCCGGCCAGGTTGTGGCCACCCGCGAGCAGGGTCGTGCTGTCCGAGGACAGCAGGCAGGTGCGCAGGTAGGCCCGGCGGGTCTGCGGTGGGCACAGATGCAGGGGACCGTCCTCGTCCTCCGAGGCTCTTTTGGCTCCCGCAGGCCCCGCCCCCAGAGCCAGCCCCTCCCTCACCTGGACACACAGGTGGCTCTCGGGATACCTGTCCTCCACCACCTGGCTGGCCAGGCTCCACACTTTGACACCACCCCTGCCACAGGTGAAGGCGTGTCGCACGAAGCTGCTGACAGCCGTGGCCAGCACGGGCTCCCCGTGTTCCAGTGTCCGCACCTTCTCCATTCTGTGTGGGATGGCCCGCTTCTTGGATTGCCAGGGCAAGGCGTCCGGTCTCTTCCACGTGTCCTCAAAGTCCTCAGGGTCCCAGCATCTTGGGAGGGGAAGCCCCGGGGCACCAGCCTACTGGTGAGCCTCTCTGCCCGGCGGGGACCACCCCTCAAACCCGAGGAGCTTCATTCTTTTGCGGACGTTGGGGTTCTCAGGCCTCGCTTCCCCCACGGCGCTACCCATGCCCCCTCAAGTATTCTCCCTCTCCTAGAACCAAACATCACCCCCTTCCGCCTGGAATGCTTTGCCCCATCCTAGCAAACTCCTACTCATCCATCAAGACCCTAACCGTTACGCCCCTTCCCTCCAGGTAGCCTTCTCGTCCCCAGCTGGGCTCCCCCAGCCTCAGACCGCAAGGTCAGGACTGTCTGCACCCAGCTCTAACACCCTCTTTCCATGGGAGTCCTTTCTGCAAAGCCAGAGCTAGTCACGTGGGGAGGGACAGTGATGCTGGCCTGACGGTCTCCGAGCTGCCCCTTTCCACCCAGATCCCTCAGCTCTGGTTACTGAGGACAGTCATACAGTGGAGAAGGGGAGGACACACCCACATCCCTGGTCCCCTCTACCTGCCAGGGACAGAGGTGCAGGCAGGAGAGTGACAGATGCTTACATGGGCTTCAGGAAAGGGCGGGCTCTCCCAGCAGGCTCCTGTGGGCGGGACCACGGTCACGCTCAGCAACTTCTGCCCCAGCCCTCCCAGCCTTCACCTGGGCCTCACCTGGGCCACTCGGGAGAGCATCCCGTCCGCCTCGGTGCCTGGCTCTGTGCTCCCTTCGTGGGAGCCCTCAGGGGAGCTGAGGGAGGGCACAGGCGGGCTGAGAACTGGGCAAAGGCAAGAGCACATGAGTGACGGGTGGGGGTCCTCGGGGCAGGCTGCCCCCCCCCCCCCCCCCGCGCTGGGATTACCCAGAGTGTCTTCCATACGTGGTTCCGGTCCTGAGGAGCGCGGTCCCAGGTCCTGACTCTCCTGCCCGTGGGAATTGGGGCAATCAGACCAGAAGACCAGCCCGGGGTCAGTCTTAGACCCTGGAAACCTCAGGGAGGCCCAGGTGGTACAGACAGCACTCGCCAACAGCCCCAAGTCCCGTCCTGGGTGGGGCTACAGTCTTGGGACACAGTCCTGAGCCCCCCCACCGAGGGCATGCGCGGCTAAGGACCCAACGGATCCCAGGACCCCAGCACCCAGCCCGAGGGCCCAGTCCAGATCACCGCCAGCCAGCAGCCCAGTCCTCCAGGTACCAGTCACTCACCAGGCCTGGCGCCTGCTCTGTCACTAGGACGAAGTGGGGGGGGGTGAACGGGAGGACAAGGTTCAACTGTGCTGCCCCTGGACAGCCCCCTCCCTCCCCACCCCCCAGCCCCTTGCCCGCGGGAGGCTCACGTGTGTGCTGCAGCCGCTCCCCCTTATTGTGGGTCCCGGCGAAGATATTCCAGAGCTGCTCGGTCAGGACGTCCTGCCAGAGCTGGGGCTCCGAGTCCCAGGACACCGGCGTGTCCAGCTGGTGGGCTGGGGCGTCGTCCACCCCCGGGCGCTGCGTGAGCCAGTCTGAGGACCTCGCGGCCACGACATCCTCGAAGCGCGGCCCCTGGAGACTGGAGCGCGGCGGGGTCGGGAGCGCCGGGCGCGGGGAAGTCTCGGGGCTGGGGGGCCCCCAGGAGTGCCGGTCAGCCAGCCCACCCGAGACCTGGCTCGAGGGCTCCTACAAGCACACGGTTGGGAGGGGTGGGAGGGGGTGCCCTTGGCCCCGAGCCCGTCCCCTTCCCCACCTCGAGGGCCAGGCACCCACCTCCCCCGGCTGGAAGCCCCGGGGTCGACTCCAGGTCTCCATGGTCCGCAGAAAGTTTTCTGCCTGGAGGGGCAGACGTGTCCCAGCTAAGCCTCTGCAGCTGGACAGCCCCGGGGCGCAGACCTCCTCCTGCAAGGGTCCCTCAGTGTGCGAGGCGGGGACACACTGCCTGCCTTGAATGGTTCTGGGTGGGTTGATTGGTGGTAACACAGAGCCCTCGGCAGGCACCGGGCTGAGTGCGAAGAGAGTTCTTTGTACCCAGAACTCAGCAGCAGGTGGTAAAGCCTAACCCTAAAGGCCAGTCGTTTTCATAAAATGGTAGAAGGTAGGATCCGATCTGGTCCTCACCCCAGGACATATGCCCCTCTGCGTGGGGACATGTGCGTTTGCTTAAGTGTTGGAAGCGTATTAAGAAATCGACGAGGGGGACGCCTGGGTGGCTCAGTCGGCTGAGCGTCCGACTCTTGATTTCCAGGCAGGTCACGATCTCATGGTTCATGGGTCGGAGCCCCACGTCAGAGCTCTGCTAACAGGGAAGAGCCTGCTTGGGACTCTCTCTCTCTTCCTCTGCCCCTCCCTCTCCCTGTCTCAAAATAAACAAACTTAAAAATGCAATTCCTGGGGCGCCCGGGTGGCTCAGTCGGTTAAGCGTCCGACTTCAGCTCAGGTCACGATCTCACGGTTCATGAGTTCGAGCCCTGCGTCGAGCTCTGTGCTGACAGCTCCGAGCCTGGACTCTGTGTCTCCCTCTCTCTCTGCCCCTCCCCCGTTCATGCTCTGTCTCTCTCTGTCTCAAAAATAAATAAACGTTAAAAAAAAAAAATTAAAAAAAAATGCAATTCCTCCAGTCTCAGGCAGGTGCTCAACAGCCAAGTAGGACAGCACAGACCCCAGAAGCAGGGGTCCCGAGAACGTGCCTGCGTCCGGGCTGCGGGCAGACCAACCCTCTTGGCCACTATTCCCAAGAATCCGTGACGGGGAGTCCCCGCCTCGTGGTGAGATAAGGACCTCGATGGGAACAAAGTTCAGCTACGTTTAGTCCAGTGCCAGACTAAATACAGCGGGAGTGTTCCAGACCTGCCCGTCTAATGCAGTGGCTGCTAGCTTCGAGTGGCTACCAGGCACTTGAAATGTGGCTGGTGCCACGTGTTTAACGTCAACCCAGCTCCCGTGGCCTCCCGGAGAAGACGGCGTGGAGCTGGTCTTGGGTCTGTGGCTGTGCCAGCAGCGTCCCTGCCTTGTCAACGCGCACCCCTCCGTGGTGGGCACGGAGAAGCCGCCCAGAGTTGTCTGGCCCAGGGCAACCTCCAAAATCCTGGGAAAACGCTCTGATCCATGAAGAGAGAGAGCCGATAAAGCAGTGCGGTGCGGGTGCCAACCGTGGTCTGTCCTGTTTAACAGGAGCCACTGGCATTCCCATTTTGCAGATGAGAAAACAGAGGCCCAGAGAAGCAGAGGCAACTTCTCAAAGTCAGGACGGGGCTTACCTGCTTCCATCTGGAGCCCGGTCAGGCAGGCAGAATGGTGAGGGAGGGGGCGGGCAGCGGGACCCCCCTCTCGTGGCCGTGGGCTGGGGCGGCCTCCTGGGGCAGCCGGTGACGGGTTCCCCCAGCTGGGCCTCCCAGCAGCACGCGCCCAGGGGAGCCTTCCCCAACTCGCCCTGGCTCGTTAATCCGCAATTTACTGGCACTTGAGTGCACTCAGCATGGAAAGAGCGGCTCCCTCCTGCCTGCTAGCTGGCCCTCCCTGGGGAGAGGAGCTGGCTGGGCCAGCCTGCTGCTCGGGATTTTAAATGTGCAGCAAGGAGGCTGGGAAAACCAGGAGCGGGAGACCGAGGACAGAGGACAGAGGAGTGTCTGCGGGACTACGCGGCCAGCAAGGGTTCTAGGGATCTTCCCCTGAGTGGGTGTGAGGGGGGCTCCCGGCTTGAGCAGCAACTCTCGGGGGGCCTTGTCCCCTACATCCTGATACTCAGCAAGTGCTGTGGGGATCCCCCCAAATCCACAGTCTGATCAGTTCTCACCAGCAAAGCATGAAGGGACCACCCCACCCAGATGGTCCCGTTCCACTGCCCTGCCCCCACAGTCCATCCTCCAAAGGGCGCCCATGAGCGCCCAAGTCAGGTCTGCCCTTCCCTGCCTGCAGCCCTCCAAGGCCTGCGCCACCCTGTGGGAAAAGCCCAGTCCTCCCCGAGGCCCCCACAGCCCTGCACCACCTCCCCTCCCTTCATCACTAGGCTCCAGCCACTTACAAGGGCATGGCCTTGCCCCAGGACCTTGGTCCCGGCTGTGTCCTCTGCCCATTCCGCTCCTCCCATCCTGGACATCTGCACTCCCTCTCTGGTCACCTTCCCAGCAGGCCTTCTCACTCCCACCCCTGCCCTCATGTCCCCCTGGGCGGCTCGGTCCCATCCCCGCGCCTTGCCCAGCCTTCACCATCCGACACTCTTGTTTACCAAGCTCTCATCACCCCAAGGGCACAGGTTCGTCTGTGTCCTTCTCTGCTATTTCCCTGGCGCCTGCAACCACACTTGGCAAGAAGGTGATGGATAAGGAGCTGTTGAATGAATAACCGTGTTCTGGCTGCTTCCTGCCCCCCCCCCCCGCCACCCCCCCATCAGTCTCTCCCTGTTCTGTGCACTGCCCACCCCAGGCCCTGCTAAGTTGCAGACACGGACCTGGCCTTCCGCCAGTCACATCTGGCACAGGCAGACAGTCCTGCCAGCACCCAGGAGAGAGGGGCCAGGTGGCGGAAGGACAGGCAGGAGTGGAAGACAGGCTTCGGCTCGGGCACGGAGCCCTGTGCTGGGAGCCCGGGCCCCCGTGCCGGCCTCCCCCCCCCCCCCCCCCACCCCCAAGCTCATGTGCGATCCAGGCCCTGAGAACCCTCAGGCGCACGGAAGGCCACGATCCGGGTGTGCCTGGCACATGACAGGCCCTTTGGGGCAGAAGTGACAGACCTGCAGAGTGCTGGCTGAAAAGGTCCCTGGCCTCCTCTGAGCCACGCAGGGACCTGGGAGCAGGCCGGGGAGGAGCCTCAAGAGGATGGGGGACGGGCTCCGACGTGCGTGTGCGTGGGGGCTCCGGGTCAGGCTGCCCTTCTCTGCCCACAGCACTCCAGGGCTCCCACCTCCTCCGGGGTGAAAGCCCACGTCCTCCCCACGGGCCCCACAAGGGCCCCCACAACCTGCCCCTGTCATAGCCTCTGTGTCTCCCCCCATGTTTCCTGCCTTTCAAGGAGGGGCAGCCGCACCCCAGCTCTCCTGGTCATCAATCACTCACCTGCTTGTGATGTTCCTGGAGACCCTGCCGGATCTTCTGGAGCTGCAAGGGAACGGCAGGGATTGCACCGAGGTGGGGGAGGGGTGGGGTGGCCAATGGAAGCGGACAAGAGTAGGAATCGAACGCTGTGCGTGCTTCTCCCCAACTATGTGATCCTGGATAAGGTGCTCTACCTCTCTGGTCACTACATCTATCAAATGGGACGCCACCCACCACACAGAGTGGGAGCTAATCAGGGACACCCTTGGATTTCATTCTTATGGTGACGTTCAAAGACTCCCCAGAACCACAAGGCCCTACGCACCTGCCCCTGTCCCCTCCCTGCCTCCCTCCCTCTCTCCCTGCTCCAGCCACAGGGGCCTCCTGGCTTTTCCTCCTCCAGGCCCATTCCTAGCCCCAGGGCCTTTGCACAGGCTACACCCTCAGCCTGGAATGCCCTTCCCTGCTCTCTCTGGATTGAAAAGCTCCTTATCCTCCCTACCTCACAGGGAACATCACTTCCTCCAGGAAGCCCTTCCTGACTATCTCAGCTCAAAATCTTTACTCCCGTCCACCCCCATCATCTTCCGGCTTCTTTATAGCGGTTACGGCTTATGAATCCGGTTTCTCCGTTCACTTCTCTCTCTCCCCCCGCCTAGAGGTGCCCTGTGTCCGAGGAGCTCGCCACGAGTCAAGAGTGTACACTTAGTCAAGTTAAAGATCCACTTCCTCACAAGTTCTCCATGGGCCGCGTGTGGCCGGCGGGGTGCCATATTGGGCACCGCTGATCTAGAACATTCTCCTCATTGCAGAAAGTTCTAGAAGACGGCTCCATACTAGCGCATACCCTCCCCAGGAGCAGGGGCTCCTGTTACCTATCCTTCAAGGATGAACTGTCAGCCAAAGAAACGCGTGGAATTTCTAACTTTTGCAGCGAGGCCAGTATTCACGAAGAACCCCCTTGAAGAAACTGGCCCAAAGGAAGCAGGAGGAGGCGCAGGAGAGGGGGTCCCCAAACCCGGCTCGCCAGGCCGCCCGGTGGGGCTCACCGCGTGGTACGTGCTCTCCACCTGCGCCGTCAGGTGAGGGGGGAGCCTGAGCGGAAGAAAACCTCGGGTGAGACGCGCCTTCAAGCCCCGCCCCCCAGCCAGCCCCGCCCCCGCCCGGGGAGGCCCTGGAGGCGGCGTCAGGAGACGCGATTATAGGTCTTGAAACAGACAATCGAGGCAAGTGCATTCGTGCTAAACAACACAACTCGAAAATGTACGCGGGGGCCCGGATTGGTGTTGCCGGTTTTCCGTTTGCTTCGGGCTCCAAGGCGGCTCCCCGCCTGCCATTACTCGTTCTGTCTTTGGGGCGAGGGGCTCCGGGGCCACCGAGAGCGCGGACGGGACGCTCCCTGCCTCCGGGGGCCACAGCGGGACCTCCAGCCCCTGAGCGCGGCCGTCACCTGGGAAACTGCCGCCGGAGCTGATCCAGGACGTCCGGGGAGTTCAGTTCTGGAGAAGCCTGGGGAAGGGGAGAGGAGGTAGATGAACCGCGGCCTCCCGCCGCCCTCAGGCCACAGCTCCCATCCGCGCCTCCCTCCCCGCCCCCCAGGGGGTGGGCTGGGGCCTCCTGAAACCTCCAGGGGAACTCGCTTTCTCCGGTCACGTGAGTCCCCACCCAGCCCCCTCACCCCGGGAGTGTCTCCCATTTTGCAGCTTGGCCTAAAGTCTCAAACACGGACTCTCTGCAAAGTCCTTGCGAGAAAGTTTGCCCACACTGTTGGAAAGGGGTCGTTTCTGGAGCAAGGGGCTTCTACTTGTAAAATATTAACCAGAGATGCTGCAGTCATGTGTTGGTCACCTGGGGGATAAGAAGCAAGTGTAATTTACAAAGGGCCTTGGCACCTGTCGGGAGGTGTGACCGGTTAGCGCCCCCCGGCCTGAAGGCCTGGCCACTTGCCCGTGACCCTCCAGCAGGAGCAGGACAGCCAGGTTTGAGCCCAGCTTCCAGGAATAAGCACCCACAGGGGTAAATGCCTCACCAGGCCCTCCTCACCAAAGTTCCTGGGGGCCTCCTCATCCCTTGAGGGTGCTCCTGGGGGCGGAGATGGTCCCAAGAGGTCATCTTCAGGCAGTAACCACAAGGACTTTAGCCAGGAGACTCTAAAAGCGACAAAGTGATGGCAGGTCCCGAGGGTTAGGGAGAGAACCAGCACCCGGGGGGGGGGGGGGGGGGGGGGGGGCGAGGGGCCAGGCCTGGATCCCCATCACCTCCCTGACCTGAGCACTGCATGACCTATATCCTGTGTTCAGTTATCAAACGCCGGGGCCTCCAGCTGCCCCAACGGATGCTGGGCGGCATCCAGGGGCCTCATCCCACGGGCTGGGAGGGAGATGGTGTCAAACACTTACACCCCCCTACCAGCTGCTGCCAGGGCTGGGGGACCCCCCCACCCCCGAGAAAGACGCTAAACTTCAACCTCAGTTTTGAGACAGTGTGAGACAAATTTGAGTACGGGTGAACGTCACTGGGAAGGGGTTTTGAAGGATGAGTAAGAGTTGGCCAGGGGAATTAGGACGTCTCAGACGCGAGGAAAGGGACCGCTCTCCACCCCAGTCACTCCTGTGGCACCAAGCCCCCTTTTTTTACTTGGCTTCTGCCCCTCACCAGCCTTCCAGCCTCCTCCCCAAACCCGCGGACTCTGGGGTCCTCCAGGAGACTCGCCTGCCCACTCACCTCCCTTAGGACGGAGGCCCAGAACAGCAAGCAGGAAGCTACGTGGGAGGGGGGGGAGGGGGGGAGAACCAAGTTCAGGCTGAGAATGAGCGCCCCTCCAGTTCTCCCCGCATCCCGGAGCCCTTTGACCCCTCGGGCCCCGCCCCGGCCCGCCCCGGCCCCGCCCCGCCGGGCGCCACCTGCACCACGAGGACGATCAATGAACCAGCAGCAGCTGCACGTGGGCTCGGACTCCGCGGGCGGCCGCTGCAGGCTCTGGCCAATCGCGAGGCCGCTTGCCCACGTGGCCCACGGCCGCTATCGCTGATTGGCCGGCTCGCCCCAGCCGCCGGCCGGGCTGTCAATCAGCGCGCCCGGCGCCGTCGCTTAACCCTCGCGGTACCGCTGTCGGGGGGAGGGCAGCGGGCAGAGCCGCGGGCAGTTTGGGGTCCAGACAGGGGCGAGGATGTTTAGAAGGGTCTGGGGCTTGGGGTCAGAGGGTGCAACCTGGGAAGGAGCTGGGCGGCGTGTAGTTGCATTGTTTAGAGAGGATCGTCTTTAGCCTTGCCCGGGAGCGGCTTGTGGCCGGGGGTGGGGCTGGGGCTGGGGGCCGGATCTTTCGCGCTCATTCCAGTCCTCACACGGGGGCTGATAACGTTTTTCCCTCAATATTAATAACGTGCAGTGCAGACGAAGGACGCTTCAAGCCCCCTTAATGGGGAAAACATAACAGGTCTCTTTCACCCAGCACCAAGCCCTGGGCTCTGTATTTTTGTCAGTGAATTTTCCCAACTGCCCTCCCCCGCGCCCCGCCCCCCGCCAGCCCGGGCGTCTGAGCACCAAAAGCGCGAACTGCAGAGGCCTTGACTCTGGCACAATTTTTCAAGGCCAGGGTAGGAATGGGTCGTGGGTATTCCAGGCTTGGGATGGTAAA